ACTGAGCCTGGGCTACGGGCCTCCCTGCAGCTGTGTCCGGAGTGGGCTGAAGGGGGTCGCAGCCATTCCCATGACTCCCTAGGTGAGAATCAAAGGACAGAGCCACCTTCCCGTCATGGATGTTGTAACCGTGGTCAGAAAGAAACCACAGGCTGAGCTCCTCCTGGTTAAACTGCTACTTACGTCACGCTGTGACGGCGACACTGGGAAAACCTCCTGCCGCGGCCAGAGACCAGTGGTCAGAGAAGGCAGACCCCTCCGAAGCTGCCTCCCTTCATCAGGTGAGGGCCCAGGACCACTCAGGCCAGAGAAGATGCCCACCTTAATGCAAGGGCGGGAAGTGATGCAGGGAAAGGCTAGATTTTGTTGGGGGTAAATAAGGGTATGCAGAACCCCTAGAACAGGGTTCTCAACCTGTGGGTTGCAACCCCTTTGGGGGTTGAATGAACCTTTCACAGGGTCAAAACTACAGTTATGAAGTAGCAACGAAAATAATTTTATGGTTGGAGGGTCACCACAACATGAGGAACTGTATGAAAGGGTCGTGGCCTTAGGAAGGTTGAGAACTGCTGCCCTAGACCAATCTCTCTTCATGTATATGTATGGTCCCTGGGTATTTCTTTCCATTTAGGAACACAATTCATCTCGCCTATTGGTGTTGGGTGTGACCATTGGATGGGCCTGGACCAGAGAGGTGTGAGCAGACCAGTATGTCCACATCCCAGCAGAAGCTTGAAGAAGCATCATGACCTGCTCCAGGCCTCCGCATGGCTGCCACCCGCCCTGAAAACCGTGAAGACACACGGAACAGACCTCAGACCTATGGTCAGCCTGCAGTCCTCACATAACCCAAGCAAGATAGGCACGTTCGTCGTTGTAAGCTGCTGCGATTCGAGGGTTATTTGTTACCACAGGGAAGAAGACTACTACGGATGTGGGAACCTGAAAGGGTTATCACAACATGAGGGAAAGTCATGAGGGACTCAGCCTCTGAGAGAGGAAGCGGCCCCCAAGTTCGGCAAGCCACACACAATGCACAATGTGCATCTGCTTCAACACCTGTGACTTGTCTCAAGCCATGGCCTTCTCCAACAGTTCACAGAGGGGGAAGGTGGGGAGTGAGGAGGACCCGGCACTCTCGCCCCCATCCTGGCCCTGGTTCTGTAACCAGCCAGCTATGGGATCCCTTACCATGGGGGCCGGAGGCCAGCCCTAAAACACCGTGTGCACCGCGATTCAGGAGTGCCGATCTCCAGATATTGACTGTGTGCCAGCTACTGGGCTCCACACTAGGGCCATCAGAGCATGATTGACACAAATAAGGTTCCTGTTTCCAAAGGAGTTCAGCGGAGGACTGAACAAATTAAAGAACGGGTGAATAGTACATAATTGAGTGCTCAAATCTGTGCTCTAAGGGGAGAGAGCAAACAAACAAACAAATGAAAACAGCTGCTGCTGAGTCACTGAGACATAATGGCCCTGTGTGTGTCACGATAGAACGGTGCTCTGTCGTGTTCCCATGGCTGGATGGTTGGTTGTTTGAAGTAGATTGCCAGGCCTTTCTTCCGAGGGGCCTGTGGGTAGACTTGGACCTCCAATTTTTCAGTGATTACGTGAATGAGAAAGCCTTTGGTACCACTGAGCTCTGAGAGAAAGAAGCGTACTTTGTGGGGAGAGGAAACAATGAACCCTGTCCTAGATGCGACCTTGTGACGCTTACCTTGAAATCTGAAGCAGGGGGAGCTGGGTTCGGGGACGGGAAGGAAGCAGCCTATATGAAGGCCCGACACTGTGATGGAGAAGGAACCTTCTAAGAACTGCAAGTCCAGGAAGGCCTAGGTGTGGGGAGAAGAGTCAGGTCGGGTGTTTTCCTAAGAGCCGTGGAAATCCGCTGGGGATGGAGAGAGGGGAAAGCGCGCACATCTTCTACACGATCGGCATGTCTGCAGGGTGGAAAGGGGAGGGTGGAGAAGAGCTGAGAGGATGGAGGAAGGCCAAGTGAGGAGGCTGATGATGAGCTGCCTACTGAAGCAGGGTGCAGGCTTGGGCAGGTGCCGCGCAGTGGAAATGGAGAGGAGACAGATACGAGAACTAATCGCCGGGAACGTTGGGAGAGTCAGTAGTGAGTTGCATCTGCAGGAAGAGTGTATGGGAAGGGTGTATGGGAAGGGTGCCCCAAAGGACTATGGCTAATATAAAGGACAGGTCATTCCGGAGGAACCAAACAGACACAGAGAAGAAAAGCAGGTGAGGTCACCGGGGGACGGGTGGCGAGCATGCGCTTGGTTTGGGCCTCGTTCTGTGGTGCCTGAGAGAGAAGCAGAAAGCCGCAGTGCGGCGGCCAAGTAGTATGCTGCTAAAGAAAACCGTTGGCACTTACCTGGCAGGGGAGATACCATGATCACAAGGGTGGTTTCCCCAGGGCGAGGCTTATCCTCTGCAGTCCAGATGTGCTGACCCCTGCCATTTCTCCAAATGTGGAAAACTCAACTGCATGATTTATGGTAGATGGGGACTGCGTTCACACTTACCAAAAAAAAAGTTGGGAGTCAGAACCCACTAGCCGCCCCGCAGGAGAAGATGTGGCAGTCTGCTTCCATGAAGGGTTCAGCCTTGGAAATCCGACACAGGCAGCTCTCCTCTGTCCCAAAGGGTCGCTCTGAGAAGGAACGGTTTTGACAGCAACGGGTGGGGATAGACGCCCAAGGGGCGACGTCCTGCAGGCATGCTTGTCTGGAGGTCGGAGACATACATGTAGGCAACATCCATGTGGAATGAGTCACTCCAGCCTTTGTCTTAGACGGCAATGCCGTGGGGGCGGAAGGAATGAGAAGAAGAGCGGGTCTGGCCCCACACCTCAACATCACCAACACTTCCTGGTAGGGTAGAAAGGAAAGAGCCAGCAACAACAGCTATTGAGAAGGCGACTCACCAAAGCAAGGTTGTGTTACCACGGCCAAGGGAAGAGTTTGTTTCAAGGAGGAAGTCGTCAACAGTCAAGGGGTGAGAAACTCAATAGGATGAGATCTAAAACATGCGCATTGAAGATGCCAGTGACACCTCCGTCCTACATTTCTACAGCCTCCTCGCCACCATCTGCACAAGCATTCGTCAGATGTCACCAATGTCAACCTAACGGCGTGGACGACAGAGGAGGAGGGTGGGAAGAGTATGGGCTACAAATCCCAGCCCAGACAGCTGCTAACTGAAAACTCGTCTAAGACTCTCCGAGCCTTCATTTACGCGTCAATAAAATGGGATGGTAGCCTCTGGTTTAGTATGGGCCCAGGAAAGGGTGACTATGACGATGAATAATCGTTCTGGACTCTCTAAACTGTGCTCCTGTGCATCTTCTTCTTCAGCCCTTAGCCACCCAGCAGTTGCGGCAGATACAGGTTTAGGGAGCTGCGCAAGGGCCCGGAGCTAGTTGGCTGCAGAACAAGGGTCTCCTGACGCCCAGTCCAGTGGTCTGATAAGGAAAAAGACTCTGTCTCTCACTGTTGTTTTTCACCCCTGCAGATGGATCCCTGGGTACCGATGACATCACAGATTCTGGGCATGAGGCTGGAAATACAAAGATGAGTGAGCTACAGTTCCTGCCCTCCGGGGGATCATGGCCTCGTTGAGAAGACAGATAATATAAGCACATAATTACACCACATGATAAACTTCCCAGTGGGGAATGGTTCAGGGCAAAGCACTGTGGGAACCCAGTGGAGGTATGATGAACCCTGGCGGGGGGTTGTTGGGGTGGGGTGGGGAGAGAAGAGGCATCTTCTGGGAAGTCTTGGTAAGGACAAGGCTACAAACATCTTCAGTTAAGTTATGATAAAAGTCTCCATTGCTTGCTCGCGCTCGCTCTCTCACTTTATCTGTATCATAGAATTTCAGAGCCAGGACAGACTCTTAAGATATTTATCACAGAATTGAACACTGGAGAGCTGAAGTGTTATCCTAACCTCAAGAATTGGGTAAAAAACAAATAAATAAATAAAAATCTAGGGGCCCTAGTGTCCAGACCAAAGCTTGTTCTTCTCAGCTCTGCCCAAGTCAGGAAGGCATCATCTAGAACAGAGGGCAGTGGTGGGTGTTCAAATGAGAAAGCCAGTCCATTCAGACAAGGATGGCCTGCCCTCATCTGAAGGCTGTCAAATCCCAGAGGATACACACACTGGAATCATGGAGGCCAGAGCCCGAAGACCTCGTTGGGGACCTTCACTGGAAGGTTGTAAAAGTAGGTTGCAATCAGCTGCTGACCTTAGGGTTGGTAGTTCCAACCCAACCAGCAGCTCTGTAGAAGAAAAGACCTGGTTCTGTGTTTCCATTAATATGACAGCCAAGACACCCCATGGAGCCACACATGGGTCGCTGTGAGTGCAAGCCAACCTGGCGGCAGTGGCTTTACACAGCTCCATGCAAGAGACAACAATGGCTTCTTTCCACGAGTTGCTTATGTATCTGTCTTAGAAAAGCAAGGGGGAAAGGGATGGCGGAGGGAAGCTTTGCAGAACCTTTATTAATCCTGCGGGGAAAGGCAGACTAGGGAGGGACAAAGGTGAGTCACTCTACGTAGAGCAAGGAAGGAACCATTGCAACACAATCTCGTTATGATCAGAAAGATGGCAATTAAAGCCTCATAAATTTGAGAAATCGCCAACGTCATAAATTCACAAAACATTATTGCTTATTAATAGTTCAGCCTCATTAAAGGAATTGGGGTTGGGGAAAAACCTGATTCTTCAACAAAATACATCAAAGCCTATTTCTGTAAGTGGACTCATACATTGTCACGCAAGGCCCTGGGATATTAAAGAAAAAGACTAGGTGGATCAGTCATGCCCCATACCACACATGATTTGTTTGTGAGCACGCACCTGAAACAAAACTTGACATCACACAAGCAGTGTGTTCCTGAAAACTGAACACAAGTCGCTTGCTTTGTGAGCCCTGTCTGTAAAGATGGTAAAAGCACCAGCTGCTATCAGCCCTAACTGAACTCTAAATTCCAAATGGAATCCGTCGGAAAGTCCCTTGAATTCCTTGGAACAGAGTTAGACCTGAGGGTCATCCTTGTGAGTCTTGCCACGGCCGCTATCAATATTTCATTGTGACATCCTCTTAAACAACTTGAGCGAGGAGAGGATAGTTTAATCAAAGATAGTCAAACCAAGTCATAAGCTAGCAGATACTTCTGAAGACAGCATTTATTTTAAAGAAACAGAGCACTCTTAAGAAGACAAAATACAAGAAAGGTTCATTTGTGCACCTTTGTGAAGCCATGCGGTGGTCCGGATGAGAGGATTTTCCAGATAGCAGCTGATTCTCCTTCAAATGACACTTCAAAGATTTTGTTGATAGAAATGATGTAAAGACATACGATACATCTCCTTGATAGCTTTTATAACTATGCTAAAGCTTCTTTTGTTTTTTGGTGACTCGCACAAATCTTAATGTCATCTATTGGGGTGGCTATTTTACAACTTTGTCCATAGAGCTGAACAGAGTCCCTGGGGTTCCAACTACAAACCAAACTGGTATACTTAGCGTATTTTTATGTGCTCCTCTCTAGTCCCAGAAGTCCTGGTGGCACAGGGGATTACACATTGGGCTGCTAAGTGCAAAGTCGGCAGTTCAAAAGCACCAGCAGCTCCTCTGGAGAAAGATGGGGCTTTCTATCCCTGTA